CCTGAGGCAACTTAATCTGCTTTATGATTTTAGAACAGAAGCCATTTCACCAAACCGAGATAAGGGATTAAGTCTGGATTTTCATGAAGGTAGTAGCCATGCCTTTGCTGATTATGATCAGTGCTGGGCTCTGATTTTCTGCTACTGGAATTTACCCATATGAAGTAGGAGATGCTGAAAGTCTTTGCAAAGACAATATTTGCTGCACCTTCAGAAGTTTGTATTTGGCATTAAAAGGATATATGCAAACCCTCATAACCTTCCCTGATCACAGAAGAATGAAATACATCAAGGAGGGATTGTACAATATATTTCTATGTGGTCTTGTTAAAAACCACCCAACACTTATTTTGGGATTTTTTTTCTCTTAAAACTCAACATATTATTCAGTAATAAAAATTGAAAATTCAGGCGATGGACTAATCTAGAAAGGGATTTGAAGTGAGGACTTTTGTCAGTGTGATACCAACAGCCTGTCATCCCTCATAATTGTTCCCACTTCTTTGGAATTCACATAAAACACTAAAGATAGGAGTCTAATGGGGAAACAGTTATGCTCCAAGTTTTATTAGGGTGATTCTTAAAGAAGACAGTAAATGATCAGGATTCACAATAAAATACTTTTTTCTTATTTACACCATTTGTACATCAAATTTCTCACTGCCATAAGTGGGTAGTAACTGGTTATATTTACCTGATGTTTGAAAAAACTCGCAATAATTTTTATATGTATTAGATTTAAAACCTTTACTTTGTGAAAAAGAGGATTTGAAATTGTGTTCCCTCTGCCTGAAATTGTTATTTTGTAAGTATGTCATTAATTCACTGCCAAAGTTTGTTTTTCTTTTAACTTTAGAATAGCAAAATCTGAACATAAACCTCTTTTAGTCAGTCTGAAACATTTTGCAAAACCTAAATCCCATGTCAAACAATAACTTGATATATCAATTACCTTTCAATCACAATTTTTTGTATGTATATATTTGTATCTTGTATGTATATACCTTGCCTTTGTTTCAAGTAAGGGGAATCCTTTGCTACTGTAATCACCTGCTCAGTATGCAGAAGTGATTTATACGAAAAATACTCTGACTAAACACGCGGGGGCGCTATTTCACTTCAAATTTCCCTATGAAATATTTCTAATCAAGTTAACAAGAAAGATCAGTTACAAACCGGAACAAGAGCCACATAGCTTTAACACTATTAAAGTCATTCAGTCAAACACATATAAAACAAGATAATACTTGAGATATCATAGTAATTAATAAAAATGTAATTATATATAAAATATGTCAGTTATCTTATATTGTGTTAAAGGGTTTGTTACGTAAAGAATCATTTGGTGCACTAAAATTGAGCATTTATTTTGAAAGATTCCAACCGGAACTGATAAGTACTTGGTTTTAGCTTGATGCTAAAGCTAACGGCAGAGTTCTATGCAGCGCTAAGAAAAGCAGTTCGGACCGTATTTTCAGACGTTAAACTTTTGTCGAACTTCTGCTGGTGTGTTTCATAGAGGTCGAAATGAATCCAGGTGAGCTTTTTTCCCCTGACCAGCCTGCATTTATTTGTGTTTTCTCCACTCCGGGGTTTGTTAATAACAACCGTTTGATTTGTTTCCAGAGTTCAGCGTTGAATCACGTCTGAGGGAGAAGAAACAGCGGAGTTCCTCTGAAATCTCAATTTAAAGAGTGGGCCGTTTGTTTTTAGTTTGGTCTTTTTTTATACAAACAGTTCTGTTCGGTTGGCCTTCAGTTTTAAAGTGAGTTTAAACTGTGAAGTCATGGCGTTCTTCGTGAAAAAGAAGAAATTCAAGTTTCAAACCCAGCTGACCCTGGAGGAGCTGACCGCTGTGCCTTTTGTCAACGGGGTTCTGTTCTGCAAACTGCGGCTGCTGGACGGAGACTTTGTGGCTACTTCTTCCAGGTACAAAAAAACACAAGAAAATTCAAATTAAGCACTCAAAGAAATGCATTTCAAATGTTTGATTAAAGCAGTTGAAAAGTATTTAACAAACACACTTTCAGAACAGCTTTAAATGCATATAGAGAAGCTAAATTAATTTCACACTTAAGCTTAAAGGTTTCTATTTAATATTTGTGCTAATCTGATTATTTTGTGCTTTTAACTGATACAACTTTCCTAAAATGGCGTTCACACTAGCTTCTGGGCCCATTTCACGACCAGGACCAGGTCATGATTAAGTTCAGATTTTTTTTTTCTTAAAATAAAAACAAAAATCTTTGCCTGAGTCTGTTACATTTCATCAGATTGTTTCATAACATCCCCACCAGAAACAAGGAAAAAAAAACAAAAATCCTCTCTAATTTTCTGACTTTTTCTTGGTGTATTTTAATTAAATCTAGGGAGGCATTTTGTTTAAAACATCACTGTTGTGCAAAAAAAAAAAAAAAATTTGCATTATTTTAGACTTGATTATTTAAAATCTTTCATTTTCTTCTTAACCCCCCCTCCCCGTCCTTATAAAGAAACTAATTACCATACAACCAAAACAAACCCAATGCTTTAAAGTCGTAGGGAAGTCCTATTTAAATGTCAAATCATTCTGGCTTAAACATGTATA